ACTCTGGCCTTCTCCCTCTTTAGGGAAACTCAGAAATTCAGGTCATTGGCGTCTACAGCAGACCCTCATCCGACACCGGCCCCTCCGTTTTCAGCCACCATCTCCAACTGACTCTGCTGCTTGCCTGCCTCTCCCACGTTTCACAAGAAGCCAACCTCAACAGCCTCGCCCCTCGCACCCTCTCTGCATATCTGTCAGGCTGGCTCAGCTTCAAATCATTCCACATAACATATAATCTACCTTTTCCCACTCTCCATACCATGTCCATCTGCCACTTCATCACCCATTCACATTCCATTCTTCAAATTCACATTTCCACAATCTGAACTTACCTTTAAGGTATCATTTTTTTCTTTAAACTGGCCTCGGGCAACTCCTGTTCAGCCCTTAGCCACAGCCACGTAGCCATGCTACTCAAATGACTTAAAAAGCAGGAGCCCCCTTCACTCTCATGCCGTCTTCCACTCACCACAGATCTCCTCACCCGTTGCATCCTCWCCCTGTGCTCCGGCCACTCATCTCCGTTCCTAGAACTCACACTACAATGAATATTCCTATTGGCTTTCTTTGGTATCCTTTGCTGCTCCGAATTTGCCCCTTCTGCCTCCAAACACGACCCTTCCATTCACCCATGTCGCGCAGACATTTCCTTCCTCAGTCACACCCTGATCTACACCCTCAGGAAAAGTAAAACCAACCAGCTCAGAACTTCTTTTCCCATTAACATCTACAACCTCATCTCCTTTCTCAGCCCCTATGAACCTCTCTCCAATCATGTGCAAACTCGAATTAGAGCTATCGCTTCTCCCCTCGACCCTCTGTTCATCACAGAATCTGACTGCAAGGCCACCCGATTCTGGTTCACCAGACACTTCCATCAAGTCCTGAGCAAATCAGGCAACTCTCCAGCCCTTTACTCCTTTCGCATAAGAGCCGCCTCTTCAGCTTCCTATTTGGGGATCCCCAACCACATTATACAAATCCTAGGTCATTGGTCGTCCCAAGCATACCGCACCTCCATCCACAACCATCCCCTCTAATTTCATCACACGCACTCTCAACTTGGTGCATTTCATCTCTGATACTTTTGGGGACCCAAAGCAGGCTCAGAAAAAAGCGTCTTTCCTGGAGACCATGCCCCACTTTGAGTCTTCTCCTCAAGCCTCCTTCGATGTACCACCCCAGACGCCTCATCATTCATCCCACTAACCTTTGACCCCTTCCGTCAATACAATATTTAAACGCAAACCATGGCGTGGTCCTTGCTAGTGAAACAAAAGAAAAAAATCTGAACCAACAGTTTATTACAGAAACAACTGGCATGTTTCTTTTTATCTTTTTTTTCTTTTCATTCTTTTTTTGCACAAACACGCATTTTGAAAGTTGAGGTCAAGGATCTCACAACTCATCCAGTCGAAAAGAAAAAAAATTCTAGTTTCAAATGGGGATGGTCGGGTGTCTTGTTTTCAAGTTCCAAATTAATRTTTATATGAAATAAAAAATTCTAATTCCTGTATTTTTAGTAGAATGCAGCAGGTTTGTCAATGATGCCTACAGGTGATAAAAGGCCATTAAGAGATTTAAAAGCAAATACTAAATGTTTCAAATCAATTCCAAAAATGGAGAATGAAARTGGAGCAGTGTGCCCATACATGAAAGTCTTATTTAAAAGAAGGATCACATAGTTTTGGGCAAGTTGAAGATAGTTGAGAGAGGACTGGGAGATCCCAACATAAAGAGCATTAAACAAGTCGAGCCTTGGCTGATAAAAGCAAGAATGGCCTTTTCCAGGTCAGGATTATTTTAAAAAGGCTTAACTTTGGTTAAAAGATGCAAACAAACAAACAAACAAACAAACAAACAAACAAACAAACAAACAAACAAACAAACAAACAAACAAACAAACA